ACAGTATTTCCACGTAGACAGTATACATTAACACTATTGAATATTGGAGGTTCCACCAAATACTATCCCAAACTTATTCAGACAGTATTTTCATGGAGAGAGTATATACCTTAACAGTGATCAATATTTACAACCTTAGCCTCCACAAAACAAACACACCAAAGCTGCTCAGACACTATTTCCATGTAGATAATATATACATTAACTGTATGCAATTTTGTCCACGTCCTTAGCCACACCAAATACATCAAACCCACTCAGACAGTATTTCCACGTAGACAGTACACATCTATACATTAACAGCATTCAATATTGCTGCTCCCACCAAAAGCTAACTCAACCTGGAATTAAACGTTTTTAATTTTTCTCCTCAGAAACTGTTGCATTGTATTTAATACGGTGTATTTAATAATTTAACCAAACTCATCAAGAGCTGGTGAGTAATAATTAGACTGCGGATCTTTATGCAAAATAAAATCTTCGCGAGTGTGGCTACAAAAATTCAACCTAAATAGGAATTTATTTTATTTTGGAAATATTATAACATGAACTTTACTTTCAATCTTTTTTATATTCTTACATATTGTTTGCATTTTGTAATTTCTTGCACGCTCAAATTTCCTATAAATGCATAAAGATCCGCAGTCTAGTAATAATCCAGTTGAAATAGAAATTATTTCATCAGAAGGTACAGTGACTCCCAGAAATATTCGGACACTAGTGTATGGTTAGCTTTATGACTTAATATCGTAGTTATTAAAAAAGCAATTGTCTTCGTTCCTTTTTCAATAATAAGTCATTTATTATTGTTATTAAAGATGTATACATTAATCCAAAAATTTACATAAATTACATAATAGCAATAAACAAACGAAAGAATATCACATTTTCGGGTACGATAAAACACAGAATAGGCATTGTAATGGTGTGGGGATGCATTTCGACTTCCGGTGTTGGCAATTTAGTTTTTATCGATGGCATCATGGTTAAGAATGCTTATTTGAATCTTTTAAAAAGCAATTTAAAACAAAGTGCAGAAAAAATGAGGATTGCTGAAGATTTTAAATTTTACCAGGATAATGATTCTAAACATAAGTCGCGTATTGTCTAAGAATTTTTATTGTATAATTGCCCCAAAGTCCTTCATCCACTTCCACAATCGCCACACCTTAACCTTATAGAAAACTTATGGGATAAGTTGAACCAACGGATTCGCAAGACACCCATTCGTTCCAAAGAAGAACTTAAAATTAGGCTTCAAGAAGAATGGGCATTCGTTTCGACAGAATATTTAAAAAAAATCATTTCTAATATGCCGAATCGATTGAGACATATTATAAAAGAAAAGGGATTTGCAACAAAATATTAATGTGGAACATATAATGTTTAATTTTAATTAATAAATGTTATTCCTCATAGTGTCCGAATATTTTTGTGACCCGAAAATGCGGTATTCTTTCGTTTGTTTATTGTTATTATGTAATTTATGTAAATTTTTTGATTAATGTATATACCTTTAATAACATTAATAAATGATTTATTATTGGAAAAAGTAACGAAGACGATTGCTTTACTTAATAACTACGATATTAAGCCATAAAGCAAACCATACACTGGTGCCCGAATATTTCTGGGAGTCACTGTATATAAAACGAATATATAATTCACATTGCGTGGACCACCCTGTACAATTTTAAATTAACTATCTTCTCGATGAGACTTGACTCTTAAACACTAATCTAAGTACATAAATTTCCATCGAACCATGTGCTCAAACAAATTGCACCGCTTGGTTGGGCATTACAAGTGTCGTTTACATTAAACAAGACATAGTTGAAGAATAATTAGAATGAAGCAATTTATCGTGGTTTGCAACTCATTTACATACTCGACAAATTATCCTTTCAAGAAGCGATGATTAATTTCCACGTCTTCTATTCGTCGTATTTTATTAATTAACCCTAACGTTAAACTCGTCTCTAGTTCAAGGTACGAGTACATCCAAGAGGAGCAAAGGACTCAGTTGCAGAGGAGGGGTTCGTCGAGGTACGAGTTCATTCCGCGTCAGCAGGTGCACCAGCGTTCCGCGCCGGCGGCCAACCAAGACGACGCCAGGGAGCCGCAGATGCAAACCTGCCGGAACAACGCTGGAAGATACGCCGTTGTACTGGGTGACCAGGATTACCCTGACGAGGAAATTGCGTGGAACACGTCCAAATACGCCACGTCGGTGCCGAGACACATTAACACGCCGCAAGGTAACGCTGAGAACGAGATTAATTAGCGATAAAATCCTCCGTGTTTGCTCGAGGCGCGGTGAATTATAAAGTGCGACCCTTTTTCCCTCTCAATTACGCGGCTGTTTAAAAATTCTATTTTATTTTTTCCTGCGATTGCGATGGTTAAGCGGTAGCGTGTTATTAGGTCGTTACAGCAGAGTGCCTCTGCAAGAAGAGGACCCTCCGGCTCTACCCGACAGGAACCTGCACGAGCTCTCGATTTCCCCGAGAAACAATTTAGCTACGCAAAAACTGCACGAAATACTGACTACTCCGAGGAAGCCGAGATCCAGGTCCGAGGAAAGGACCCTGTCCCCAAAGAGGCAACAGTCGTTCAATCAAACCAGTACTCCACAAAGAAGAGCACTCACGCCAGGTGGCTCCCCAACCGGTAGATATACTATATACATATGTACCTACATATATTTTTTTGGTAAATATTCGCCTCATGCTACCGCCTCTCAGGGAGACAGATATATCTTCTAGATCCAAAAATGATTTTATTTTATTCAGAATTCTATGCTTTTCTCTTTTCCTTCCTTTAAGGACGTGTTGTGGTTTGAACGACTGAAAAATAGCCGATTTTCAAGAATTTTTTTTATTAACACGGAAAGGAAACGTCTGCTTATGAAGCTCCTCCGCTTAAATAAAATTTAAGGAAAAAATTGCATAATAATGCACTATTTATGCGCTCTTCAAATCCGTAAGAAAAAATTTTTGCGCTCGCTCTGTTTAATGCAAAAGAATTTATTTAAATGGGGGGGGGGCTGAGTAGGCTGCTAGTAAGCCCCCCCACATATTAATGATAAGCAATCAATTTATAAAAAAGCTATGTGAAACTGTAGTTTATTAACTTCTTTTTTGAAAACAATGATAGTCTACATATTTTTGGAAGTCTATAGAATAGATACAGTACAAAAGAAATTAATTATTTATATAAGTTGGGAAATTAACAAGAAAAAACAATAAATCGATAAAAATATAGAAACGAGAAGTATTCGTACGATCGTTAAATTTTTATAACTTTATAAAAAAAAAAAAACGAAATTTACATTAATTTGTAAATAATTAATACTTCGCGGGATTTCCTTTTGATTTTATAATTGCCGCAACTCTTCTAGGCAATAGGTAAATTAACTAAATGTCCTTCCATTCCTCTATTAGAGCATTTTTTAAGACCTCCTAACTGGAAATTCGATGTTTTCTAATTCGCACGAAGCAATAAACTGATGTGTTTATGTTACTAACTCCACCGTAAATGGTTCGTCGTAAGAATCGTACGAATAATTATTCATTCTATATTTCTGTCGATTTTTCGTATTTCCTTGTTAATTTCGCAAATTATTTAAACTAGTAATTGTTGTTTGGACTATATCTGTTCTAGAGATCTCCGAGAATATGTAGAATATCATCGATTATTAAAAAAAAAAAAGATAATGAACTACAATTTCACACGTAAGTTTTTTGAAAAATTAATCGATGTACGAATACATTCTACACCCACAGTATGCGCTAATTATGCACTATCGTATAAGAGCAATTTCGACTTTTGCGCTTCATCCCCTAAGACACTTACTTCTTGGTGCAAATGCAAGTTTTGTCTCGTAACTTGCTAATATTACTAAAATTTCATTATTCGACTGTATACGATTATTACTCGATTTATGCGCTATTATATTGAAGTAACTCCAATTTTTGCGCTGCATCCCTTAAAGAGTGTTCAGTCGAAGACACGGAAATAAAATTAAAAGTGAAAGCACTCCTAAATAAGAGTTTTCTAGAAAAATGTCTAAGAGGAACTTTTCCTTGGAAATTAGTTGTAGAATTGATTTCCTGAGTTTGTCCCTTAACTGTATACACCCTGTATATATATATATAGAGAGAGAGAGAAATCAGTACAAATCCTCCTAGCATAATTTTTCCAAGATAATGCCTCCGAGACTTGCATCTTTGGTGAAATATAAACGAAAAATTAAGGTTTCTAATTTCTATACTAGTCAAAGCTTCAAACGTTTCAAAGTTAACGTTGATATCTACGTAAATCCAGAAGATTGTAAATGTAACGCTCTTTCTAATGGTACATTTAGTTTTAATTTCGCACTGTAAGTTGGAGTTACGGCGGTTTAAAGAGTGTTCAGTCGAAGACACGGAAATAAAATTAAAAGTGAAAGTACTCCTAAATAAGAGATTTCTAGAAAAATGTCTAAGAGGAACTTTTCCTTGGAAATTAGTTGTAGAATTGATTTCCTGAGTTTGTCCCTTAACTGTATACACCCTGTATATATATATATATATATATATATATATAAAGAAATCAATACAAATCCTCCTAGCATAATTTTTCCAAGATAATGCCTCCGAGACTTGCATCTTTGGTGAAATATAAACGCAAAATTAAGGTTTCTAATTTGTATACTAGTCAGAGCTTCAAACGTTTCAAAGTTAACGTTGATATACCTAAATCCAGGTCGAACGTTCAGTCCGAGTCGCAGCACCCCACACGGAACGCCACCGAATCGAGCGTTTTCTCCGACGAGAACTCAGACTTCCACCCCTAACAAAGAATCGTCAGCGCGAAGGTGTTTGCCACTGTTGGAGAACTCGTCTCGGCAACAAGACGTCTGCCCAGCCAGCAACTGCGGGAGACTCCGTTACGTCGGCACGGCTCCTGTCGACCTTGCGTCGATGGGTCACGGTGACCCACCACCTCGTTACGGGTACATAGATAATGGTCCAGAATCTATGCCGATGGTGTCCGGTTCGCCAAGGTATCAAGTGATACCCACGGGACAGAAAAGGAACGGCTACCAAAGCGTAGAAAGTGCGTTCATCGCCAGAACCGCGGTGGTGAGTAAAGAACGCTTTCGGATTAATGTTCATCATTACGTGGTGACGCAACGACTTAGAAAGGAAGATACATGGCGACGATCCGACTGTGTTTGCTCAACATTTGAAGGCTCTATTAGTAATAAATCATAAATAATGCTTGGAGTAAATAGTTATTTGAAAGAATTTGTTATCGTTAAAAGTTCTCAGCTTTAATTTACTAAATTCGATCTTTATGTAAAAACAAACTAAAAATTTTCGTTCGATGAAATATGCATCGTTTGCATCGTTGATCTTTTACTATTTTTCGGACAGCTTGCGATAAAGTCATCGATGCATTTTTGTATGTCTTCGATTGTCCGGGAAATGTCCAGCTCTATATTTGATAGGAAAATGATAGAGAATTGTTTGAAGAATTGATTGAACAGCACACGATTCGATAACACACAATCCTGGTTTGCTCGTCCGCTCAGGTTCCACCGCTATCGCCGCCGAACAGTGACGCAAACACAACCTTGGCCAGCGGTTTAGAGAAAAACGATAGAAGAAACGCACCGCTCCTCCTGATTCTCGTTGGCATCTTGACTTGTGGTTTGGCGCTGTATTTGTCCTGGACGCAAGGGAGACGGTAATTACTTGTTTACATATGTAAATTGATTAGGTGTCTAACGTCAAATAAATATTTTGTTGACTCTTTAACCCTTTAACCTACAACAACGTGTGAGGAATTTTGTACCTGATTCACGATCCTACAGTAAATTGTAGATCAAAGGGTTAAGGGAGGAAGCAATTTTGAACGCATGAAAATCATAATTATATTCAACCATTTTGTCGTGGAAAACTATTGACTTTATGGAAGATCTATTTGATGACATTCATCATACATATATTGAGTAATACAAAAATTATCTTTATTTTGATTTTTTTAAATAAAATTGCGATATTGGAGCCATTACACGACAAGTCTTTTTCGAAAGAGTCACTAGCGGACTTTTCAACTTTTCAGGCATGGACTTAAAATAAAAAACCAAATATTTTCATTTTCTACGTGAAACTACTGTGAAAGTACAGATTTTTCAAAATTTCAATTGTTTGTAAAAATGGTGAACATTTGAACAAAAAATTTCGTTTTAAGCACAAAATTTACAGACAAAAATGTCTATAGTAAGAAATGTTCTAACGTATTATGAAATCCGTATGTAATGTCCACAGTATATGTCCATCAGGTAGACACGAATACTCAGCTTCTTTTTCTAACGCCTATTGCTCTAGTACTAAAGGGGAAATATGTTACTCTACACTTATTAATTTACATTCCATTCACTATTGGTTTCGATTCGTGTTGTACAAATTGTTTTACAGTCAAAAATATCATACAAAGTCTCATTGTAAGCCTCCTATCAAATGCGACGAGAAACGCGAAATTTAAGTGATCATATCTAGCAAACTAAACGGTAAATCGAACCTATATTTCGCACAGATGTGTATCAAGATGTAAATTTTAAGTTTTCAAAGTTATGAGACGATCTGAACTGTTAATCAACTGTTTTCGATAAAAAGAATTATTGAATACAGTAATGTCTCCATAACTGCACAAACTCCGGCCTGAACTAGTGCATTTATGGTAGACTTCGTATATTCTTTGTTATTTGCCGACAAGCTTCGAACGTAGAGAAGGACAGCGAATACAGAAGAAGACGGAGCGAAAACACCAGAGTATGTCGATGAGACAATTTAATGCAACGGTGAAACTTTTTTATTATTAACTTTTTTGTTGTAAAACTTTGACTATCATATTCTTGACATTTTTCTGATTAAAATGAGACCAAACAAGACATAATTCGGACAATATTTTCCCTGAATTTTTTTGTTAATTAGTGTTCTACGATATACAGGGTGTCCTAAGTGTTATGAAGCTCCAACTCCAAAACTATCGGCCGTATGTAAAATTCCAAATATGAGAAAAGAAAAATGAGACCAAACACGACATCATTCGGACGATATTTACCATGGATTTTTTCGTTAGTTAATGTTTTACGATATACAGGGTGTCCCAGCCTAAGTGTCACGAAGCTCTATCTCCAAAACTATCGGTCGTATGTAAAATTTCAAATATGGAAATGGCGTGGTAAAGTGGGGCGCATGTTTCAGCGAGAAGGAATTTTTGTTAATTTTCTTATTTAACATGTAAAATTGATCTATGTACATAATAAGTTGTTACAAGTGAATATCTAGCGAATTACGTCACGTTTGGCCTCATTTTAGTCAGAAAAATGTCAAGAACAAGATAGTCAAAGATAGTCAAGATGGAAAAAACTTTACAGCAAAAAAATTAACTCTTTGCACTCGAGTACTTTTTTCCTGGTATCTACTAGCAACTCGAGATGCTTTCTTAACATTTTATACTGTCACGATCGCAAACTAATTTGAGATTCGAGAGTCAGGTCACCTTTACTTCGTCTGCACTCGTTATATTTATAAAACTTCGATTTTTGGGAAATGAAACCTAAACAAACATTATTTGCTGGTTGATTTACCGTGTCAAACTTGATGGTGACCGAGAATCACCTCTCGAGTGCAAAGGGTTAATAATAAAAAAGTTCCACCGTTGCATTAAATTGTCTCACCGAGTAATCCAATCCCAGATCATGTTTATACTACTCGGCGATCGAATTCCTTGACCCTTCGAGAGTATTATTCTGTGCATTTATCGTAGACAAAGTGCATTTATGGAGACATTACTGTATATCTACAATTTTTAATCCTTTCCTTACGACAGTCCGGTCCGCTGGAGTGACGCGACTGAACACCGCCTATAAATTCAATCTATAGTCCTACCTATAGTAACGAAAGGGTTAAGCGTCGAAGGTGCCTTCCCCTCTTATTCTATCCCACACCGCAGCTCCGATTGTATCCGACAATTTCGAATACTGAACGAGTCCCTGTGTATCCTCAGATATTACTACGACAGCGCAACAGGTTGCGGAGTATGTTGCACTTTGGCGGGAGCTTGCAGGACGATGAGAAGGACCTGGACCGGCCTCGGTCTCGCGGGACTTTCTGCGTTGAGCTGCGCAGGACTGCTCCTGCTCGCCGCCAAAGCACCAAAAGCTGGTACGCCGCTTCACGATGTCACTGCTGGCGCTTTATGCGGAGTTTCCTTATTGGGTGCCGTTCTGGCGTTGGTCGCGCTTTTAGCGCCGAGATGCAATTTGGGACGACACAGGCGGGTCCACTCTTGGATACCTCGTTTCTCGCCTTGATTTTCGCGTTCAGGCCGTCGAACGTTTCTGGAAAAATAGAACGATATAACCCGCGCGACGATAACTGCGAATCGATAGCGGCTGGAGTTGTTTTTACGCAGGAACGATGTTTACCTTGGAGAAAGCGCGAATCACGGCGCGTTTCCTCGCCGAGCAAAAACGAAATCCTAGTCTGCTGTTTTTTGTCGAGAGTATGAATTATTGTAGAGGCGTATAGGAACGGAGAACGATTTGGACTATGAGAGAGGGGCTAGATGCAAATCTCGATTAGCGAATAAATGATGAATAGCGATGAAATGACGTTATATTTGGTGAATAAAATTTATAATGTGGATTGTAGCAGGGTTTCTCGAACGGTAGATGTAGTGGATCAAAGGGAATAAGTTTTATATTGGAAGAATTTGGTCCACAGTGTTTTATTCATTTTAGAAGTTTTACAGAAACATAAAAAAAAAATACATCTCCCACATAATGTAATCAGCATCATCACCTATCTCGTTTAATTATACGTTGTCCAATTCTTTTTATACTATTTTATCAAAATTGTTTGGAACTTATAATCGCAACTATTATTATGTTTTTGTTTCAAGTATTAGAAAGTAAGATATTTGAGACACTCACGGCCAGATTCTTCATAATCGATACTAATCAAGGCTTCCAACAGTAAGCCGTATTTTCGAGGTAATGTAGTCTGAGTTAGTAGCAATTGCTACAAGATATCAAATTATATTAGATTTTCCGTTCGCAATGATATATGGAGTTTTACCCGAAAGCCAAATTACAAGGATTATTTAATACTATTTGATAAAAAATATTATCCTGTGCTAGACATTATGAAATAAATCGCGAGAAGATCCACTTAAGCCCACTGTAGATTTATTCTTGTGTAATACTTTGCGAAACTACGTATATAAAATTCATTTTAAGAAGCGTTTTTATCGCTTGTACTGAATTAAATGTTAAACCGTTTAAATTATAGAAAACGGGAGATGGATAAGAATGGGCATTCTTGGACCCGCTTGGAAAGAAAAAATGTATGCAAGACTGTTCACAGTGTCATCCATATGTATAATAAAAAAACGTCTTTATCATTTTCTTCAAAAGTGATGCGAAAATTGTCCAATACAGATGGAAACATGTTATAGCAATCTTATCGACATATATACAGGGTATCCCTTTTAAATTCAGATTGTAAAAAATCTCGAAGACATGTGATTGAAAAAAAAAACTGTATTATTACCAGAAAAATTTTATTATCTGAACTTTATTATCATGAGCGGTTTATTAAATTAAGTGTCTAGAAGTTGAGAGTAAAAATTTTAAGTATTTATTATGATGTTCTTTAATGAAATAAAAAATCTTGCAGAAGAAAGTAACGTTGTCACTTTAATAAAAAGAAGAAAATTATCCATGACATAAATATGAAAAATCAGCTAAATATTTTAAGAAACATTGAACTCGCTAAAAAATGTTTCGAACAAAAGTTGTGCATCTTTTTGGGTAGAATGTGATTCCGAAATAAAAAATATGGGTTTATGATAAAAAAAGACAAAACGACTTTGAAATGACCTTGAAAACGTCCACGGATTAAAAAAGTAATAGTGCCATCTGACTCTCTACTCGAAACACTAAAGAATATGTGTCAGTTTTTGTCTTTTTAATCACACGTCTTTGAGATTTTTTACAATCTCAAATTGAATTGGACACCCTCTATTCATTCTAGCTCACGTCTTCCCATAGATATGTAAAATATACAGGGCGTATCGTTGAAATTGGAATGATTGAATATCTCATAAAGGGATGAAGCTGTCAAAAAACTGCTTTTACAAAAATGATTTGTAATATACAAGGTTTCTTTTAACATGTGCAGGTATATGTATAATAATTATACGCAATTAGATCGCTATGACATGTTTCCACCTGTATTCGACAACTGTCCCGTCACTTTTGGAGAAAATGATAAAGACGCTTTTTATTATACATGTGACACTTTATTATACAGGGTGTCCCAAAACTCGGGGATGAGCCGGAAATGGGGGGTAGCTGAGACGATTCTGAACAACAATTTCCTTTGCAAAAATGTCGGATGGGGCTTCGTTAAGGAGATATTAAGCGAAAACCCCGACCAATCAGAGCGCGCGTAGACCGTTGGAGCGGCCGCGGTAGCGAAGGCTACGCGCTAGGTCGATGCTTCGATGCACGTCGAGTCACTTGTTCGCGTGCAAGCGCGGCCACCAGCGCGTAGCCTACGCTACCGCGGCCGCTCCAACGGTCTACGCGCGCTCTGATTGGTCGAGGTTTTCGCTTAATATCTCCTTAACGAAACCCCATCCGACATTTTTGCAAAGGAAATTGTTGTTCAGACTCGTCTCAGCTACCCTCCATTTCCGGCTCCTTCCCGAGTTTTGGGACACCCTGTATATGTGACACCGTCCTACATGAATTTTTCGTTTCCTCACAGCTCCAAAAAACAGTCATTTTCTATCATCCTCTCTTGTAGACCATCCAGACATTTTCTTAAAAAGCAGTTTTATAATAGCAGTTTTTAACTAGGAAGCCTATCAAAGGTTTTGAGGCTTCTCTCAGGTTAGCAAAATTTGTAAAACACTGAATCATAAAGTAATATTACATTATATCTCGCGTTCGACAAATAAAAATTTATCCTAGTAACCGATCCATCGAAAAACCGTTAAAAATGAATTTATTCGCCAAAGTATTTTTCGAAACAAATTTTGCCTACCTCCGTTCGCACTGTAACGTATCGTTTTCTGACACGAGTAGACAGCATTTGCGCGCAAGACTATCACGACGAAGCCAAATAAATTTGTAATACGTACTCGATAAGTTAAGATTATAAAATACGCGAAAACATGCGAAGTAACGTGTTCGTATCTTAGTATGTTACGAGATATCGTCGTCTCAAGAAGAATAATTTTATACAAGCTTGTACATTTTGTACCAATTTTCAAATAAAATGTTTACGCAACGATTACCCGGACAAATTTTATTTCTCTTTAATGCGCTCGTAGTTGAAGCGTTTAATAATTTTCCATCTACTTCAGAGATGCGTTTCTTTATCACTATCGTTTTCAGGTTTGTCGTTCACGACTACCGGATATATTCCTTATCGCAGATTCACCACGAGGAAGTCGATTTCCTGAGCCTCGAGCATTTTCAAGTTTCGCTCGCGTCAAATAGACATTGACTTTTTGACGTGCGCTGAATGCGATGCGGTACAGCATCGATCCGATACGAACATGCGATTTCTGAAACGCGGAAGAGTGATGCCGGATGTGACAGTGTCGTAAAATTCATTAATCTTTTCATTTTTGTTGCGGCGGTGTATAATTCGCAAGTTTCACTTTGTGACGATTCATCATGAGCGTACTGGAGATACTACTTTTCGCGATACAAGTTACTATTATTTCGGGACGATTGACGGTCTTGAGAGGTAAATCAGCGTATACTTTCGGGCAGAACATGAGAAAATTAGCGTGTGTGTCCGAAGACGACGGTAGCGGTTTAATATGGAATAGCAATTTAAACTGGATCTACGAACCTTATAAGTTCAGCGATAGAAGCACGACCGCTGGTGAGTTTTTAATGAAGAGAGTAACGGAATAATTGTCACTCCACTGTTTAATAAAAAAGGAACATTGACAATATAACTTTCAATATTTTTACACGATACTAGCTGCGCGCCGCGTGGAATACTATTCTAGTTTACAAAATAAAAAATAAAAATGTACGTTCAATGCCGCACTTTTTTCCTATGTATTTTGGCCTGCTAAACTCGAAAATCGCAATGAAACATTTTTCTATGGATAGGTTTTCGAGATATGAATTTTTGAATTCTTTTTCGATTTTTTTTAGGTAACATCACATTTTAGGCCATATCGCGAGCTAGAAATATCCGATTGGGTCGCGCAAGGTGTCATATTAAAGGTAATCGAATATCCAACAATTGTTTTTAACACTGTTTTCCAATCGATTTAATAGTTTAAGTGTTATGGGCCAAAATATATGAGAAACATCGATTTTTTGAGCTAAAATAGAACACGAAAGCTTTCATCGCATTGTAAAAATAGTAACTGTCAAATTATGTCCAGTTTCTTATAGTTTACGTATAGATCGCACTTTTACGAAGAAACCAGCTTTTGTTGAAGAAAATCTATGGATAAATACCGGAGATATGAACAATTAAGTAAAGGTACAAAAATTCCAGTTTTACTCTGTTTTTGTATTTTTCTCCTATTTATATAGGAAACGTTTATGAAACTGTCAAATTATATCCAGTTTCTTATAGTTTACGTATAGATCGCACTTTTACGAAGAAAACAAGCTTTTGTTGAATAAAATCTATGTATAAATACCAGAGTTATGAATAATTGAGTAAAGGTACTCAATTTTACTCTGTTTTTGTATTTTTCACCTACTTATATAGAAAACGTTTATTTAATTCATTTCGATTAGAAATACGAGTAGAAATAATTTTAAAAAATTAACAAAAAATTGAAAAATGCATATAAATACATAAGAAAAAACTTGTGGCATTAAATGTACATTTCAGCTGTAAACTAGTGTAATTACTGTAGCGTTTATGGAAACCTACTTTAGATTTCTCGCTCTATAAAAGTTTGAATTTGAATTATAAAATGAAGTCATAAGTTAAACGAACGTGGTCTATTCTATTCTATGCGTTATCTATCATTTTGATAAAATTTTGCTCATTTCTGATCTATACCTACATTAATTCCAGACTTTCGATCTTTAAATGGATATCAAAGAGAGCAAATAGATTGCGATCTGACCTCGAACGAAGGTTGCATGAGAGGCTGGAGTACTGCTGGTTGGAGTTTAGCGAATTCCGGAGACAAACCCATGGGTCCGGTAATGGATCGTCGATGGGAGGGTTCGTTTGGACACTTTCGTAGCGATTCACGACCACTTCTTAAATTCCGTTTATCAACATACGCATTTTTAGGCTTCGTAGAGTACAATAATTTCGATAGCGTGAACGAATACCGTTTACTCGGAAAACTGGGGAAGGTTCGAATGTTCGAGGGAGCTCTCGCAATCTCTGTTCGTGGATCTAGGGACGCCCACATTCTATTCTGCAAGAGTAAACGTTACGAAACTGATTTTTGTTACTGGATAATTATTGGTGGGTGGACCAACACGGAATCCGTGATACGAAAATGTGCGAATGGCGTACCGAATCCATGGAGTACATCCAACGACGACATGTGCACCAAACTCAGGGCTTCTTATAAAGTAACTTAGTTGAAATCTTATTGCGGAGTGTTTTCCAAAATAGGGGAACGCATCACCATGAGTAAAATACTATTGATAAACATTATACACTTCAAGAACAATTTTAACCAATGAATTTCGAGATTGTTATTGGAAAGTCTTTTCACATTCTTAATAATTTTATTCTAATACAGATGGGGGTACCCTTCGATCGAGGTGATCCTTTTTTTATCATAGATAGCCCTTGACATGACGATTAGAATGGTGGTCATCTTGACACTTCACTCCCCCCATTCCCCACAGAGGTAAAAAACTGAAATGGTACAAAAAGTGTTTTTTTTTTGCACCGTCTGAGTAGGTTTGGGGTAGTTTTTGGTAATGAGATAATATTGAATACTGTCAATGTACATATTGTCTACACGGAAATACTGTCTGAGTAGGTTTGGGGTAGTTTTTGGTAATGAGATAATATTGAATACTGTCAATGTACATACTGTCTACACGGAAATACTGTCTGAGTAGGTTTGGGGTAGTTTTTGGTAATGAGATAATATTGAATACTGTCAATGTACATACTGTCTACACGGAAATACTGTCTGAGTACGTTTGGGGTAGTTTTTGGTTGGAGCGGAAATATTGAATATCGTTAATGTACATACTATCTCAGTAGGTTTTGGGGTAATTTTTGGTGGTGGCAGCAATATTGAATACCGTTAATGTACATACTGTCTGAGTAGGTT